AGAGCACGGAGTCTGTGTCGAGCTTGTGCTGGTGCAGCAGGTCGCGCGCCAACGCCGCCTTGTTCAGCTCCTCGCGCACCGACACCAGCTCCGCGCGCAGCCGCCCGCAGCGCTCCTCCTCGCTCCTGCGGACACGGACACACGGACCAAAATATATATTATATATCTATTTTATTTCATCATAATTTTTGTCCTCTAAATAACTCTATCATACGTCATCTCAGTCATCACTCCATTCTAGATCATGTCTTTCGCGCAATCCATACATCTCTTTCTACGTCTACCTCTACCGATGTACCACACTCATAACTAACGTTTTCTTTGTAACATGCGATTCATCCTTCCTCATAACATGCCAATACCATGCTAACCTTTTACTCCTCACCTTCTCTACCACTGGGACTACTCTCAAACTTCTAATTTACTCATTTCGTATCTTATCTATTCGTGTTATATGTATTTTATTTATATACAGTACATTATATACTATTATATAGAGCGTCGGTGGCTTAGTGGTTTAAACACTTGACTTGGCTGGTGACATCTACAGGTCTTGGGTTCGAATCCCGCCATGTACCAATGTGATTTTCGATTTTCCGAATTTTCATATATACATAATTAACCCGACGTTCTTACGGTGAAGGAAAACATCGTGATGCAACCTGCACAATATCAGCGAAAAAATTCAAAAATATGTGTGAAATCAACCAACCCGCACTGGGCCAGCGTGGTTGACTATGGCCTAGTCACCCCCTTATTAGGGTAGGCTCCGAGCCCCTCGGTGGGGACCTATAGTGAGCTGGTGATGATGATGATATTACATACTGAGCCACCGACTACTGGTTTGGTCTAGTGGACCTATAGTTTTTGTAGGGCTATATTAGCTATACATTTGTCTATAATTTTAAATTGTGTTTTGGGTAAAATTTCAATAGAATAAAAAAAACAGAATATACACAAAGATTCAAGTGCGACGAAACGCCTAATATTACGTCAAATTAAAAAAAAATCGATTAGTATACGATAGTGTCCTCGATCGTTAAAATAAAATATAATTTCTAAATAAACTATCTATAACTATCGCCCGCGACTACGTCCGCGTAGAATAAAAAATAAACAAATTGAATATTTGTTCCAGAGACTATCTTCTTTACCTATAATATTTCTTCGAGATCCGTTCAGCAGTTAAGACTACATTTTAACAAACATTCATACATCCATCCATCTAACCTTTCACATTTCTTATAATAGCTTTTAGCATTTCACCTTAGAACAGATTCCCTGTTAGTTGCTTCACGTTGTAAATGATCCACTTCAGCGTTCAGAGATCTTTTCTCATTCTCTAGAACTTCTATATTCTTCTCCAGTCGTGTGTTGATCTTCTGTAGTTTCTCATAATCTGATGTTAAAGACTCAACCTGGTAAAAAAACACAAATACATATTTTAAATGTATTTGTAACTATTGCCAAAAATATTACAAACTTTTGAAATAATTAAATTCTTACCATTGCATTAATTTCTATTCTATTCCTTTCTAGATTGTTCTTGTCAGTTCTGAGCGTTTCTACTGTCTTCTGCAGCGACTCTCGCTCTTGTACCACTTGGTTTAGATCGGCATTTGTTTGGTCCAATTTAACTGTAACACATTTTTGTATTGTGAGTTCAAAGAGTAAAAATCAATTAAAAAACAACATTATAGGCAAAAATACTAATTAATTGAGTCGGGCAAATAATCCACGAAAAATATTGCGTAAAAACATTACCATCTTTGAATTACTGGTAAACCCTCTTTGTCATTCAGGTAAACATTCATTGTCATTCGCATTAACTCTTTTTGTCATTCAGGTAAATCTTCTCTGTCATTCGCATAAACTCTTTTTGTCATTCTGTTAAACCTATCCTGTCATTCGCATAAACTCATTTTGTCATTCAGGTAAACTTTTTTTGTCATTCTGTTACACTTCCTTTGTCATTCTGGTAAAGTTAGGTATAATAATATTTGATACCTTGCAAGTCGTGTACTTTGCCTTCCAGCGAGGCGACGTTGTTGTCGGCGACGTCGCACTGCTTGCGGCTCGTCGCCACCTGCTCGCGGCTGTTCTGCAGTTTCACCTGTAACACACAAAATAACTCAAACACACACAAATGTAACGTTTTAAAAACTAGCTGTTTCCTTACGGCTTCATCCGCGGAAAAAAGTCATTTTATTGTTTACATTCCGTAATATTTTCAATTGCAAATGCTTAAAAATAACAATGAAGGGCATTGGCTTTGCTATATTGGTTTGAGCTTTTGTCACAATTATTTCCAATTATGTCACACACCTAATGAAATAGCGTGAAAATGTATAGTCTGTATCACAAATAAAAATACATTAATTATAAAAAAAGATAAAAATTTAAGTCTAACTACATGGAATAGGTTTTGTACCTGTAGATCGTGTATCTGTATTTGATATTTGTGCAGCGCGGCTTGCAGCGCGGATATTGTGCTCTCAGCGAACGCCGTCGCGTTCGCGGATTGCGGCACGCCGCGCTTCGGAGACCTATACATTCATTAGACAAAACCTATTTACAATTTTCATTAATCAAGAATATCAATAAGAACCAGGAAAAAAGAGTAATTTTAACCATTACATTTTGTTACTGGAAAGAGATAGAAGATACGATATCCCGTTTTTGTCTCTCACTCTGACCCGATTTCAGACAGCTGTTTGATTATTCTAGTTTGTTATAAACCTAAAGGTTTTTAAGGTACTATGGAATTGAAATGTCTTTTATTTGACAAAAATCCTTGTGTTAGAAAGAGACAACTATATGTATGCACACTAACCTATCAGAAGAGATATGCATATGTGTGGGCGTGTCAGTCTCCGAGTCGTGTATGAGCGCGCGCGCCACCTCCTCCAGCGCGGAACGCATCACGTTGGCCTCCGAGCACAGAGACTCCGCACAGTCACAACGCTCCTCCTAAATTATAACGCTTCTTAAATACTTTTTTCTATATTAAATGCTTTCCAAGAGAGATTTATTGCGAGTTGTAAATATATCTATCTCTTTCTAACGGTAACTGACCAATGCCTGCAGTTCTCCGAGCAGGCGTTGTATACGTGCGTCTCTTTCCCTCAGCTCTGACGTAGCGGCGTCGCGCTGTGACGTCACGTCGCGCAGCTCTGAACGTAACGTGTCCACATTTGCACTGGGAGTGGTCGGTAATGGCTGATGAACCTCAGGCTGAAATTGTATATTATTAATATTTATTAATTAACCTTAAAAGATAAACAGGAACAGCAAGATATATTATTGAATTAAAAAATATATATAAGCTGATTGAATCATACTAATATTATAAATGCGAAAATTTAGATGGATGGATGGATGTTTATTAGAGTTTGTAGCTTAAACGGCTGAACAGATCTGGGTGAAATTCGGCATAGATGTAAACACAACAAGAACACATAGGCTACTTGCTTTAATTTTTTTTATTCCACACAGACAGAGTCATGGGCAAAAAGTACTATTATAGAATTAAAAGTACCTTCACATCTTGATTAGCATATGCTGTTATGGCATATCCACTGAGAGTCCCGACCAAATCACGGGTGACGGAATCAAAGTCGTTCTTCACTTTGTACAGATCTCGCTCGGTGTTGGTCTGCAGGTCGGAGAAGAAGCGCTTTACTGCCACCACCTCCCGCCACAGGCTCAGCAGACGATTGTGCTCACTCGAGTAATAGTCATTGAAGGCCTAGAAATGTTACATCATTTGTATTAAAGCTAAATAAGTGTAATATAAAATGTAGGGATAAACATTTACACCCTTACAAATAAACACAGTATAAAGTAAAAGTTAGGAATAAACTATAAGCAAATAATAGTAAAAAAATTGCTAAGTTTATTTAATTGTAAGGCTGTTATCTTAAATGTGTGTAAATCAGCTTTGAAACAACTCATAGTTTCAGAAATATATGTGATCAGTCACATAGACTTGATATATTAGTCTGCATTTATGCTTCAACATGATGTACTGTAATTTTCTGAGCCGGCCAATTAATTGATCTACTTAACACAAGGAAACTGATCTGAGGGTCATCGATTTTAGTTGATTTATAGCTATTTGTGCGGTTAATATATCTAAATATTATAATCAAAAAGTGCTTAAAATTGTCTTTCTTTTGTGCTTCACCTGTCAATGATTTAATGATTTTTAACTGCATTTCTATAGATGTTAAAAGTTTACTATAACAGTAACTATTAATAAATAAAAAGTGTAGCAATAACAATTTAAACAGTATGTTTAAAAACTATAAACAGTACTTGTTCCTCATCCTTCCATTCATCTTCCTTGATGGCCATTTCATCCCGGAGAGCCTCCCAGTCATTGGTCAACTTCTGCAGGTCATTCGTGAGGGCTTCATTCAGTTGATGTGACTCTTCTAGTTGCTCCCTCAATAAATTATTTTGTGACACCAGTTTTTCACACCTGGAAAATATTGTTTCAAATTAAAAAAAATATATATTAGCACTTCAATTCTTCATATAATAGTAATTCAATTCTTACTTGCGTTTCTCTTCATCAAGTCTTCGTATTGCAGTGTCCAAGTCGGTGATCCTCTCGTCTCTTCGTGTATCGGATGAAGATGAGACTGGCGCTGGAAGCGCTATGCACGTCTTGCTGGGCTGATGGTACGAGGGCTCGCTGCGAGGAGTAGACTCCATCTGATTTTCCAGTTCGGCACATCGCTGCTTATATTGCAGCACCTTAGTTTACAAAATAATTGATATTTCACTTTCATATAGACATTGAAATACTAAAGTTAATTTAGTAATAAAAACAATGAAGTTAATAATAATTACTTTTTTTGTTTCACACTTTTAAAACGACTCCCAACTTGAGAGTCTCAAGATATAATTCGAAATTTAAAAAAAACAGATGACATTTGACAAGAAAACAAAAACATTGCAAGATAAATGTTGCCATGCAGCCAGTACTAAAATGTTAATTAGTGTTCTATGAAAAATAAATGACCAAATTAATGTGCATAAAATATCTTTACTTATTCAAAGAAACCCTTTTTGGAAGGAAATATATATGTATTTTGGTTTTCAAAACATTTTTAACCCAAATTGTTCCAATTTGTTGTCGGCGTGGTCGCTTTATAAAATTGAAAGTTAAAAAATACCTTGGCTTGTAGTCTTGATACCAGGGCAGCTTGGCCTTGTTGTGCGCGCCGGTAAGCGTCAAGTCTCCGCTTATGGTCAGCAGATTCACCAGCCAGTCGAGCACGAAGCTCCTCGTTTTGCCGTCGTAAGTCACTTCCAACACTACCCGGCGAATCCATCTCTGGAGGACTTTCCGCCTTCTATCAGAAGTAAACTCTTTATATGTTGGAGGTTTCATTACAGGTTAAATATTGAATTAAGTCTTACCTCCTTTTTCAAACGCTGATGTGGGAGCGTAGAAGGTCTACGGCCTATAGGAGCGCGAGCACTCCTAGGCGTAGTCAATCCTTCCCTCGTAGGCAACTACAATGGGACAAAGGACAAAAAAAACTAAAGCTTATGCTTTCATTTCACACCAAAAAAGTTTAGGTACAGTTAAAATTAACCTGAAACGAGACTTTCTTTTTTATTCTACTTTTATGTTTCACATCAAAATAATAGCAACGAGATGATTTAAATTCCATGTACATTTAGTCAAATTCCCTCCGAAATTAGCGCCAAAATACAAACACAATGGTTATTTTTAACAAGAAAATTACTGGCAACGTACACAAGTCTAAAGAAAAACGTGATTAACGAACAAAGAAAATGCACCGAGTTACACCACAAACAAGCGGCATAGGCTTCCGTAGGGTGGAAGAGAATGGCTATCGGCCTAGGCATCTAATTATTACAACCCACACCTAGTTGCCTATATTTACGTCTAGGGATTGAAGAGAGCGTTGGGTTAATAAACCATTTTGCACCTAGGGTTTTTAATAAACTACCATTAACTACAATTTTTCGTCTTAATACTAGTTCTGGAGATATTTTTTTCTGTAAATGTAATAAAACAAAACTATAAAAACAGTCTAGATTAATTACTAAGTAATTAAAACAAGTGCTCATTGCAATAAAAATTTGTTTATTTTTATGAATGACGTATAATAATTTTCATATATAATTTATTAACTTATCTGTTATTGGAAAAAGTTGCAACAAGAAGTACAAATAATAATAAAGAAAAAAAGATCGCAAGCGATAAACTATGACTCACTTTCGTTCACCACTCGGCGTCTTTAGTTGTATTGTGTATTGATAATACGTATCCTAGCAACGTAATCAGTACAACTACAGTGTTGATTGCGACGTAGAAATATAAAAAAGTCTTGTTACACACATGTTACTTTAATGCCAACTTTAGCTTATAATATTGTGCTATGGGAAAGGAATTCACATATGTTTTGTCTAACAAAATACTCATTCGTAAAAATAACTAATTACAAACAAATTCTTACCCGTATTAGAACCAAAATACAGGTTTCCTATAAATTCCATTTACTATGCACAGTTAAATGAACGCCTGCCATAATAATTATAGCAACTAGTTGTATAATCGATGAATTTGCGGATTTTTAAATGTCATATTGCACTAAAAAAACAAAAAGTGTGTGGTGCCATTGAGAGGGGTTGATATACTGGTAAATTTTCCAAATTTTAATGTACTTTTAGGGTGATAAATATAAACGTTTCGCTTGACTGGCCTCCCTCTATTAATGCACTACAAACCGATAAAGTAGGTACCCATATCAAAGTTGTACTAATTCGAGCTAACTGTACAAAACTTTTTTTTTACATTTAAATGCACTATTGTACTATAGTAAATATTTCTTTACAATCTACTGTTTCTTCAATAAAATATGCAATATCAATGATATTGTAATCTTATTTACATCTGCGTAACTAAACGAGTTCGTTGACCGATATTATGCTCGATTTGTGCGATAAAAAATTATCCCTAAGATTTACACACTACGCCTCCTACGATTAACATATTTTAATCTGTAGTAAAAGTATCATTATAGTATTGAAAACGTTAGTCTTGACGTTTTCCAAATAGGTGTTAAAAGTACATAGGAGATAAATCTATACTATTATAATAAAGCGTAAACACACACATTGTTGCCTAAGATGTCAGAAATTACAGCATATATAATCCTTTTAAACTAAGTTTAAAAGGATTATTCAAAAATATAAGGGTTAATATTTTGGATAAAAATTCTAATGTGGGAAAGAGACCATAAGTTGCTGCCAACATAAAGGTAGCAAGTTGCCAAGGTTTGTCATGTCATATCATTTTGACATTTGCTATTGATAATTTGACACATGTAAACAATAAAATAAAATTTTCATAATTTTATGCTTATGAAGTCGCATGGGAATAGCTAGTACTATATAAAAAGTTTCTACACAGTTACTCTGTTAAGAATATGGAATGCTGCTAAAAACGTTGAAGATTTCATAGAAAAACCATTGACGTATACGACTGTTGTGCGATAGTTTAGTCAAAGGTGTATGCACGTTGTAAGAATAGAAGTACTAGCTTTCGCCCGCGACGTCGTCCGCGTTAAATTAAAGAAAGCAAAACTGAGTACCGTATGTGTTCTTTAGGATTATCCTCTCCGTCTATGCCAAATATCATCGAAATCCGTTCAGCCGTTTAGGCTACAAACTCTAACAAACATCTATCCATCCAAACTTTCGCATTTATAATATTAGTAAGATAGCAACATTGAGGTACTTAATAGTTTAAATTTTCTATCTTATGTCTTTTGTCTTGGAAAGCATTTAATATGGAAAAAAGTATTCAAGAAGCGTTATAATTCAGGAGGAGCGTTATAACTGTGCGGAGTCTCTGTGCTCGGAGGCCAACGTGGTGATGACGAAAGTTTAGATGGATGATCTAAACTTTATAATATTACTATAAGTACTATAATAGAATAGCTAGCAACTAGCAACAGACGCCTAGTGATTCAATCAACATTGTTGTGACAACGAAGTTCAAAGAGCATTGTTTATAGTTAAAGTCCGAACCCTTATCAATATTTCCCCTCTGTGCGAATTACCAAGTATTCATTTTATATGAGAAAAAATAAATGACGTAAACACGGTCCGAAGTAATCAGATGTTTTACATTTAACGCGGTCATTGACACAAGTTATATCTTATCGAAAATGTTTTGTTGATTTAGGGGTTTCAAAGACAATTATAGTTAGTAAATTATAACCTCTTCAGTGAAACCATTTAAGAATTATTGTTAAAAATGTCTCCGTGCAATTGAATAATTGAAATAAGTGCATTCGTATACCATTATCTTACTTTCCTTTTATCTATTTAATACGGTATGATTAATTTATCTAGTCACAACTACTTGCTTGCATTTGACTTATCACAATTCATTTAATTATAATTGTATACGCCAATTCTATATTTATCTATACATATAATACAATTGGGGTGTCTGTAATATCAAAGGAAAAAATACAGAATTTCGAAAAGATGTATTTGCTTTGCTGATAACGAAAATAGCATTTTTTTGTCTGTCTGCAAGCCGCGTTTGTTCCAGGTAATCTCCGTAACGGCTAAGCCGATTTGGACCGGACTTTCGGGTAGGTGACATAGACGCGCATATTATAGACTACTTTTTTATCTTAATGTTGCGTTGAAGAAGTCGCGGGACACAGCTAGTTTTTAATGAGGTTTACACCTCATTAGTATTACTATAAACATTATAATATTGTTAACACAATTTAATAGCAATAAAACATTAACTGGTAACATTACCTCATTAATTTAAAGTCATAAACAAACAAAAAAAAATAACTTCCTTATCTATGGTACACTAAAATTACATCACAATTAAAGTTGAAATTAGTTTGCCGAAATTCCTATAACGTTTATTGCTTCCCGAGTCGCGTGACGACAGGGAACGAAAGGAACTGGGTCACAGCTCATCGTTTACGATGCCAAATGATAAAGGCGAATTATTAAAACGACCATGTGGAAACGTCGCTCGTGAAAGGGAAATTAGGGAGCGTAGCAACGGATTTGTTAGCCGCTACAATGCTCTACGCGACGCTACACATACGTAGAGCTACGTTTTAGTAGATGTACCTTTCTTTAAACCCATCCGTAAAATATATATATAGAGTTTTAACGAAAGAATTTTCTGGCCGTTTTTTCTTTGTATGCAACTGAGACATAAAATGTTTACTATCTCTGTTTTCTAAAAGAGAACGACAAGGAAATGTATAAAAGTGTTTCGGTGATGGAAACTAAGATAAAGTTATATAATTTACTAGAGAAGAAAAGAATCAAACAAAACAAATTTAAGTAGCCTAAGTGTTCTTCCAGACTATCCTCTGCGTCTGTGCAAAATTTCATCAAAATACGTTCAGCCGTTTAGGCTACAAACTCTGCCAAATATCCATCCATATAAACGTTCGCATTTATAATATTAGTATGATAACACAGACGATACAACAGTTACTACAAAAGCAGTAATATTTGTAGAGATGAGAAGCGCGTGAACAGTCGCTTTCGCTTTAGCTAATTGAGTTGACTAACGATAACCAGCGTGCCGCGTGACCTCTTAGGTAACATGTTTGTGATAAACAAAATATTATGCGTATCCCAAGATTGCGACCGAGAAAATTCTACGACAGATTCAAGGCAAGAAAATTATTATTGAATTTACATAGTCAAGTTCAACTAATCCAGCTTTCTTATTATTTTTTGATAAGTCAACAGCTAACTTACTATTTATGTCTAATATAATATGTCAATAAATCTTAAAAGCCATGCGACTTATGTACAATCTCATTATTTATCTAACTAGTTACTACTAGTAGGTAAGAATTTGTGTCAAATGTACAAGAGAAATAAAGTTTGTTTGCGTTGAATCAAAGTTAATTATATTTTGGAAATATGTCGTGCTGCGTGTTCATAATTATTTAAACTATTTGATGTTCACATTGTAATATTCTCGGTATGCGGATGCGCTGTAAATATGTCGTGAATACAAATTACATACTTCAAAACCCGTACATTTCCGCGGTTCGTGACTCTCGCATGACCCATCCACTAACCAACCTTGCGAACTTCCTTGTCGTAAATAACTTTTTATGTCACCTGTCAAAGCCGCCATCTTTCCCGATTTACCCGCCAAAATCAACTTACGCATCTACAAGGCCAGTCGCCGTTACTCCCTTGAAATAAAGCCCAAAATTCGGGGCGTTTGAGTTGAACGTTGGCATAACAAAACGTATATCTACCCTTTAAAAAAAGGGAGTCGTCTCCATATCGATTGTGCCACCTGGTGCTTACCGCCGTCTCGATTCGTCGGCAATCGGTCGGTAATCGAGTTCTCAAATATTTGAAAAGCTGAATCGAGTGATAGGTTGCTTGAATTAAAAGTTTGGACTATAATTTATACTGTAGCTTATACAGTAAAATAGTGCTTA